CCTGTGCAATCAAAGCCACACCTCTGCAAAGACGCACTCAGACACTCCGTTATTAAGAGCGTGAGAAGCAGACTTGACTCTTTAAATTCAACATGCCAATATTTTCTCTCCCCTCCTTGTCCCCTCACCAGACACCACCACTGACAATTAGGACTATTTTCACTCCAGCCAGCGCCTCCACACTAAATGCTCTTCTAAGACAAAGAGTTTCATTTTTAGTAACCCACCTCCTGTGCTTTGCACAGATGTCGTTCTCACAACAGCCCTTCGAAAAAGGTGGGCAGTGCCAGTCACTAATGACTTGGCAAAGATTAAGGAACGAGTCAGTAGCAGCGGGTTCAGACAGTGATGGTTAAAGACCAGGGAGACCAGGTCCCCATGCCTGTCATCAGCCCAGCAGGTCCTACTGTCTCCCAGAAAGGCATCTTCCCCCTTTGGCTGTTCAGGCTTTGCAATGCTGAGCAAGTCCAGGGAGGAACAGGACAGCAAGGGCATGTTTTCCAGCACTGAGTGTGGGCAGCTGGGTGGAACCAGATGGATCACCCATCCACGTTGCAGTGTGGAACAGACCCCATGCCTTTGTGCCATGGGAGAAACGTTTTGTTGGCCAACATGGATTGTCACAGATAAGCCCCATCAACGACTGGTCTTTTAACAATGGGCATTTCTCCAATACCAGCTGTGGAGAGGTGAAATGATAAATCTCCGGACTTACAGCTCAGCTGAAACACTTTAAAGATCATATAGTTATGTGTGAGCGATGAATGGATGAAGCTGGTGGAGAGGAGAGGGAAGGCGGGGTGATACGGCAGGACATCAGAAAGCAGCACTGTTATTAGCATGTCGTCACAGACGGAATAAATTCAGAAAGTGATTTGTAAACCAGGCAGGGATGAGAAATAGCGCCCAGAAATGGTAAGGCAGAAAACTCCGTGGAAGTCAGCAGAGCTATGTTGGAGGAGAGGTTTCAAAATACAACCCCAACGCAGACAATTTTCCCCAGGTTGGTGGGGATGTTATTGGCATAGCCGTTAAAAGTGAAAAAGTCATTAAAAATGAAAATTGCAGGTAGGAGCTTACAGGCTAATTGAAAGAAAAAAAAGATGAAACTAAGATTAGGGTTCACCATTTAAAATAAAATTGTGCCCTCAACTCTGCTTTCTTCTCAGCCATCTTTTTCTCCAGACAGCAAATGTTTTCGTTAATATAAAATCAGTGCTTTGCACTTCCACAGACACTTCCAAATGCCTGTTCATCCCTTGCCAGGCTTGCAGCACGCTGAAAGCACTCAACCCAAGAAATTTGCTACCTCCTTTCAATGGGGATTTCTAGCCCCTTGACCCCTCTCATGGGCCTTTCAGGTGGTTCTGGGCCAACGCAAAAGATGTAGGCGGTTGGAAAAAGGTGTGTAATTAAGCGACCTCATCCAGAGCACCTCCCCTCCCTCCGGCTCTCGATGGGGCTCGGCTTCTGCTCCCTGATCCGGTGCAACGTGGACAGGAGCAAGGTGCAGCACCAACCCTCTGCTCGACACGCCGTACGTACAGAGAATGAAAGCGAACTACCTGCTCCGTCCACGTGGCTTCATTGTCCGTCTTCGCATTTGCAAACGCTTGGCTCTCACGCCAGGCTAGTCTGAGGTTAGCAGACATCTAAAGGGAGTCAAGCTGTGACAGCTCAGTTGTCCCCATGGCAGGGATGGAGATGGTGGTGGCTCTAAGCAACACAAACCTGATTACGGTTGGAAGGGTGTTTCTTTCACTTAACTGTGCTTCTTATCGAGAAAACAAGATCAAGGAGGTGGTATTCGTCTTTAGCATTTATTTATCATTGGAAAAAAACCCCTTTGAGCAAGCAAAGATCACAAGCACGTCACAATCAATTGGCTATACATTAATTTGTGTGGGGGGGGTGTTTGTGTGTGTGTCATTCTCATCAGAACAGCAAGAATGAAAAAGCACCACGAGGAGGTGTGCTTAACACATTACAAGAGACAGTTTGTGATATGCAACCAAACCCAGGCCACAAAATATTAATTAGACACTTCCTATCTGCCTCCAAGAGGCAAGAGTTTGTGGAATTCATGGGAGCCATGTTTTTACACCGGACGCGTTGCAAATGAAGAAGCAGGTGATCGGTGTGCAAAGCAGTCAGAAAACAGGAGCTCAGTCAGCAATTAGCACCATTTTGCAGAAAGGAGTAACAGTACAATACAGTGACAATGAGAAAGCAAGCAATAGACAGCATAGGAACTTTCACAGGGTAAAAAGCAAAACTTTTCTTTTTTTTTTTTCTTTTTACAAAGAAAGCAAAACGTGTTACAAATTAGCGGTGAAACAGAATCAGCATTGTGGTAGCTGGAAACACAGAACAGCAGAGCACTCTTTACACGTGGGCTTCCCAGTGGGATCGACAAGCTCAGAGTCCAAAGTGAACTTGAAACGGCAGAGATTTGGTCTCCTTTCTGATAAACCTGAGTGGGTCGGATGGGCATAAAGTCTGTGGAAGGTAGAGCAATGCAGGATTGCACCCTGAGTTCCTGGCAGTTCCCGGCATTCGATGCAATGCTAAACTGTGTGCTTGGACGTATGCTGAGGACCTGGTGCACATGGAGCAAAGGCCAGGGTTCATATCCCTATTTTGTTGCTGTCTGAGAGGGAGGTCCCCAGGCCCTACCAGTCTCCCAGGCTCTTTCTACAAAGATTGAAACCTTCCAAGGATCATTCATCCCACCCAAAGAGAGGTGTCCAAAATAGGTAGCTCAATGGCCCTTGGAAAGTTCCTTCAGTAGAGAGGGAATTTAGATCACTGGCTAGCACTTCATACTTAGCTTTGTAGTTAGATGCCACCAAAACCTTCATGTATTAAGGAAACATGAAGCCAAACTCTGGCCACTAACTGCATGTGTTTCATTCAAATACCATGACGGATGCTCTTCATTGAGAAGAAGCAACCTTGAAGCCCTAGATGATGAGCGGCTGATCCAGAGTCATGGAGATGCTTGGATTAGGTGGCCTGAGCATCTTAGTGATGTTCCTTGGGCAAAATTTGGCTAGCCTTGAAGTTAAGGGTTAAATTCCCATTGAATTAAAGGTGAAATAGTGGCAAGTGTGCTATCTCTTTGAATGTGAAGCTCCAGGCCAAAAAATAACTGGGAGAATTTTTTGGCATGGTCTTTCCTTATGCACAGTGAGATCGGTGTGTTGGGGGCTATTGGTAACTGTCTACATTCCTTCCTGACATGTTCTGTCTGCTGTGACACGTCATCTTCACGCTGTTGCTATATCCTACGATAGGAAAGGACGTTACTGCGGAGTGTGAAGATGAATGAAGCACCTAAATGCCAAGGAATCACACCAAGTCTTGGAAGCTCAGGCTTCTCTGGCCAGTTGTCCCTTGTGCGACGGGGTGGGAAGAGCTGTGAGCGGCACTCCTCTCCACCAGCACAAAGCAAGCCTTTCGCCGAGCTGCTCTGGAGACAGAGCTGAGCTTTGCACTCGAGCGGTGCCGCAGGGGCTTCTGAGCACTCAGAAAAGCAATGGTCAATATGGACAGGTCAGCGTCTCCATGGAGCATGCACATCAAAAATGCACTACATTCGCAAAGATTTCCACAGTTTTACTTCCTGGAGGATTTCCCTGGTTTCCTCCTAAACATCGGAGGTTTAAATATATATATATTTCTATATATGAATATATATTTTCCACATACACAACCTGACTAGCTCATAGCACACAGTTCTAACACAGCTAAGCTTGGAAATACACCACTGAATTCAGAACACTACACTTACTTATACTCAAAGCTTTAGGCTGTTAGCGCAAGGCAAACAGGACACAGCACACAATACACTGAACTTGGCATTTATTCATTACTAAGGCCAGCAAATGTCACTATCTGTACACCACAGAGCTTTCCTCCTCTTTGGAAACGTTCTCTCAGCCTTGTAGCCCACCGCTCCTTTATGTTTCCAAAAGACCCAATTCTAATGGGGTGAGACCCCAAAAAAAAGGGATTCCTCACCCTGCTGGCCCATCCCTTTTTCGGTGAGATAGTTTCACATCTCTAAAATATCCTAGCAGCAAGATTTTCCTCATTCAAACACCTCTACAGCAACACAGTTTCTGATAGTCTCCTCTTACACCACCTCCCTACCCGACTTCCCATCTCTCTCTTCATTCTTCCCAATTGTCTGTTCTCTGAAAGTTTCAAGCTGGACTGCATGTCAGGATAGAAATATTGAGTTGCAAAAATGAAGAAGAACCCCTTCATCTTGACTTGCAGCTACTCTGCCACAGGACAGTTTAACACCTCAGTTTGGTGGGATCAAGCTTACTCCTTAAGTATTTAGGACCCAATCCAGGAGTTAGGCACGTAAATTTGGATTAGGACCACACCTCTCCCAGCTCCCAATGACTCAACGACCCAAATTTTGGGGTTATGCGATGCCAGTCTGTTGGGCCAGTTCATACTCGCTGACAAATGGTCCTGCTGTGTTTACAGCTTCCAAACTGGTCTTGCTGGACATAGGGATTTCCTGGAGTAAGAGCACAGTAAATAGGATTGAAACCCTGAGATCTTGCCTGGACAGCATTTGGGGATCCCAGCAACTGGTTTATGGTCCTCTTAGGATGCTTACAAGCGAGCTGACATGAACGCCAATAGCTGGTAGAGTCAAAACAACGGGGGCTGACAGCTCTAGCCGACCTTGGTGAGTCATTTCTCTCTACCCCTTGGAAGGTCACGCCTGCAAACCAAACCTCTTTCTGAAATCTAGCTCTAGATTGGCACCCCAGAAGTGAAGAAAGCAGACCAAGATTCAAAACAAACCAGGAATAACAAAAGATCCATAACCTAGGGGAAACAATAGGGAAGAACAGCCTGCCGATAACCTAGTCTGACCTGCCACATGCTTGGGAAGTCTTCACTGCTCTCTGCGCCTTCCCTCACTCTTTTTTTTTTTTTTTTTTAAATCAAGTCTTTTGAATGGTGTTGATGGGTGAAGCTGCCTTGATGCAGCTAGAACTATCCCCCAGCTATCCTGGGTGAAGACTTGGCCCTTTATTTGCATGGGATCTCCTTCCCTGTTGCTTCTTGGAGCAAAAGTCCGACCGGTGTCACCAGGGGAAATTGCTCTTGGCCACACCACTGATTCTAGCTGACTTACAGCAGATCCATGGCACCACAAATGAATCTCTGATCCTCTCTGCCTCCAAAACTCTGCACCTGCTGACACCAGTGGGAGATGACCAAACAACGGCCAGCCCCAAAAGAGCCTCATGGGATGAGAGCACAGCCTCTCCATGGTTCAACGGGCACTTCCACGCCATCAAAGCATTGAAGGACCAAGCCCGAAGAAAGGGACAGGCTGTTGGACGCAATCATGGTTGATCCATCACCTTCATCTCCTACGATCTCGCTAGTGCATTCCCACGTCCCTCACTCTGTGCAGAGCCGTGTTGTGCAGGCAAAGCAGAACAACCTGACCTCGGAAACAAGGATTCCCTAATCCTCCTTGGAAATAAAACAGAAAAGCTTCTAATACAATCAGAACAAAAAGCAGATTAGAAGCCTCTAATTAATTTTGTGGCCTTTATTTAATCAAAGAAAAAAAAAAAAGGAAAGAAAGAAAAAAAGAAAGAAAGAAAAGGAAAAAAAATGAGAAAGAAAGGAAAGTGCAGTGACATTTACTCTTTTGCCTCAGCCAGTTTATTGTTCATCTCTTTACTTTTCTCCTTGTCCTCTGGCTTTACTGTGTTGGAGGTCTCGGCGCTCTTTTTCTTGGCAGCCCGGCCAGATGCAATCTGCTTGTCTTTGGCCTTTTTCAGGGGTTTATGGCTTGTTGTGGTCTTTTTTGGTTTGGAAGGCTTTACGCTAGGCTTTTCCACCTGCATGGAGGGCGACATGCAAAACGACAACACAGAGATGGAGAGAGAGAGAGAGAGAGACACAAGGACAGGTGGAAAACAGGATTTAGATCAGAAATAGCATGAATGCTACTTATCTACTCAGCTATGCCCTGCCACAAAGGGAGGGGAGCAGCTGGGCGCATGCTGAGTTGGAAATGGCCAACTCCTTTCATGGTGTTGATTCCCTGAAGTCACAGTGCCCCTGAAGCCAGCAGAGCCCATTGCATCCAGATCAGGACACAGTAGGGTAAAGGGCAGAGTGAACATTATCAGTCATTTTATCAATCCTTCCATCTTTCTCTGACCTCAGGAGGGGCTTTGCAAGCCCACAGGGCATTGTTTCTCTCTGGATTCCAAGCAGAGAAACGATGCACGGGACAAAAAGGCTGGTTTAAATCCCCATCTTTCTCACAGGGCATGACTCCTCAGTTTGCTCTTCCCTAACAGATTGCTACAACAGAGTAAAATTACTTGGGGGTAGCTGGGGCACGGGACACCAATTGGCACCGGCACAAAGTCCACAACAGTGTCTTGCATCCACCTCTTTCTACAGCCTCCAAAATAGGGAGGACAGCTGCAAAATTAAGGGAGAACAGAAGCCTTCAGCTCCTCCATGCTGGCCCTGCCACCCCTCTAAGACCTCACAAGCACTTACAAACTCTGGGAAGGACTAAAATTGCACAGACTGACTCCATTTATATGCACATCCTCCGCTGCTCCTAGAAAACAAGGCCAGAAGACATTTCAGCCCAGGACGTTCTTGACACATGTCCTCCACCTGATCAAAGCCAAAAGTGCTTACTGTCAGAAACTGTGGAGCACTCTGAATTAATTGCAGATGAAGATCTGGCTCTTACCATGTTGTTCCTGGGATAAAGTGTAACATGGGGTGCCCATAGTTTTCGAGGGAAAAAGAGAAAGCTGTCTACATAATCACCTGGGAAATAACAATGCAAAAACCTCTTCATCTGGGCCCTACCTGCACTTCTTTACAGTTTGATGTGGGGCACTATAGTCTCCAAAGTGCATCAACCTGTACTAGAGCCCATAGAAACAAAGAATGGTGTAGGTTGGACGGGACCTTAAAGATCAACTAATTCCAACCCCCCTGCCATGGGCAGGGACACCTCCCACCAGCCCAGGTTGCTCCAAGCCCTGTCCAACCTGGCCTTGAACCCCTCCAGGGATGGGGCAGCCACAGCTTCTCGGGGCAACCTGAGCCATTGTCTCACCAGTGAAGATTTTCTTCCTAGTATCTAATGTAAATCTCCCCTGTTTGAGTTTAAAACCGTTCCCCCTTGTCCAATTGCTCCATTCCCTGATCCAGAGTCCCTCCCCAGCTCTCCTGGAGCCCCTTTAGGGACTGGAAGGCCACTATAAGATCTCCCTGGAGCGTTCTCTTCTCCCGGCTGAAGAGCCCCAACTCTCTCAGCCTGTCCTCAAAACAGAGGTGCCCCAGCTCACTGATCATCTTCATGGCCTCCTCTGGCCCTGCTCCAGCAGGTCCATGTCCTTCTTACGTCGGGGGTCCCAGAACTGGAGGCAGTACTCCAGGTGGGGTCTACACCAGAGCAGAGTAGAGGGGCAGAATCCCCTCCCTCAACCTGCTGGCCACATTTCTTTTGCAGCTCAGCATACAGCTGATTTTCTGGGCTGTGAGCACACATTGCTGATTCATTCATTTTTCATCCACCAAAATCTCCAAGGTGGATTCTCAGATGCACCCACTGGTCAGAAGTGAAGACGGGGGGAATGACAGTGGGCAGTGTTCAGCCCACCTTTACTGTGTTGGACGTGTCCAACCAGGAGCAGTGATGGCCCTGGGTCCCTTCCACCACGTTTCTCACCTTTGGCGGTTCTTTGTAGGGTTCGCTGTAGAGAGTGCGTATCCTTCTGCGCTCCAGGAATTTGTTATCGGCTGGAGCAGGCTTACTGGTTTCCCCCTTGAATTGAGCGCTGTAACTGGTTTCGTGGGTCATTTTCTCCTCTGGTGGCTTGTACTGGGCCTTCGCTTTTATAGCTTTCACAGGCTTGACATCTATCCAGGGTCTGAACTCATTTCTGAAGATCAAAAAAGAAAGGTGTTCAGGAATTAAACCAATAGAAGAGTAGTGGTAATGTGGGAATGAAATCCCTCATTGCTCCGCAAGGTCTACTTGCAAGGGCTTTTCCCTCCATCCAGTCACATTTACAAAAAACCTGACTCCTAACACCTCATTTTTGACCTCATCTAAAACCCATTGAAACTTCAGGAGAAGTTCAAATGAAATTTGGTCTACTGAAATCAGGCAGTTGTGGGCACCAGACAACTTGCTACTTGTGTGACAGCAGTCAGGTGCCCTCTGAAAAGCTGACCTCAGATGTGACTGAGATCCTTTTTTTGAAAACATGGATGCTTTTTTGTCTCTATAGCTTCATCTCTGCACTGAAGCTACCTGCAAGCAGCTCCTGACTCTCGTGGTTAGAGTGGAAAAGAATATTAAGAAAGGAACATCAAAATTCATATTCTACAACTCAACACAGGACACATACTTCTCAGCAACCTTCCCTGCAGGCAAACCAGCTGGGTGATTCAGAAATGTAAAGAGACAAGATTTCCTACACCCACCCCTCACCCATGACTGTAAGTAGTGAATTGTGTCATTTTGCCCATATTGCACCAAATTAGGCACAACAGCTTTTGTTAATTCCATAAAAGAATACTTTTAAAATAAAGCTGTCCTAGATGTAAACTCAAGCTGAGTAGGAAATGCACATTTTATCAGATATTGTGAGCTATGGCTTCTTTTCATTAGCTGATGGTGAATTCCCAACGTACCGGAAAAAAAATAACACCATCTTTCATTTCTTTTGGACAGAGCTGTGACTTTTTGGAGAAAAAAACCCTCAAACATTTCAAAGGTTTTTAGCTTCTGCTGGACACATTCTGGTTCCCACCCATAGCTTCCTCCTCGTGCATTTTTTAGTTCTTCCCAGCGGAGCACCAACATCTTTCTAATTTTGAAGCAAATTTCTCTCTAAAACATTGTCATTCATCTGAGAATGGGGATGGAGAAAGCCCAAGTGTGTTGCTACCTTAGATGGGTCATGCTCAGACATAGTCCCAGGCAGTGATTAGATCCTTAAGACTCCAGTGCAAGCCAGGAGCTATCCTAACAGTGGTGATACAAGCCCTCCACAAAGGGGTGAATTTTCCTTGGAAACCAAAGCCCTTGTCTTAATTTTGGGACATCTGAGGCAATGGGACCACTAAGTTGCAGAGCCTGTCCCTCCGGCTTTCTTCCACTCAAGCACCTTTGGGTTGTGTTATTCATTTTCAGCCTGGTTTATTAGGGAAAAGAACTCTGCGTGAGGGTACTGCCAGTCAATCCCTTCCCACAATAGCTCTGAACATCTTAATCTGCTTCAACCAAATTGGTCATGGAGATATTCAGCTTTTACTTTTATGAAGATAAGCTGTTGGATGGAGTCCAGAGGCTCAGGAAAGGTTCAGTATGAACATGCACACTTCATCAGTCGTCAGAGAACCCACTTAGACAGGGAGGCTAGGCTGCAGAAATTAATCTGTTGTCCTCAAGGACCAGTAATAAATGATTCCTCCACCTGCAGGATCAGTGCAGCACCTTGCCCACCCAGTACTACATTTCCCATTCATATAATCCCACTGCAAAGATGGAAAAAAAAGAAAAAACCTTTCTCTTCCAAGATAACTGCTGGTTGCAACAGCCTCCTGGGTGCTTTTCTCCTCTTAAGACACCTATGTTAACATCTCACTGCATCGGCATGGTGACTGTGTCCTTGCAGACTGGCCAACACAGCCAGCGTAGCTTGGAGAGCCCTTCCCTACGCCAAAGATGGGTGACCGCATTAGGATAAGCTGAATGCCTCTTTGGGCTCTGTTAATGGACTAGATCTCCACTGATGGGAATACAAACATCTAGCACATGTGAAGACACTCACACATACACCCCAAAATGCAGGTATCTTAGTCTATGAGCCAAATCCCATCTCTGGTTCTACCTACATCTACTTTTTATTTTCCCTGTATTTCTTCATTTCCCTCCCCCTCTTTTACTATTCAGACCTTCTTGGGCTTGGACAATACTGCAAAAGGCACAGGGATACTGCCTGTTTGAATGCTGTCATTCTTCATGAAACTGTTGCACTGAACGAGCAATACGTGAATGAGCTCCTCTGTGTCCCCTACTTTCCTGTTCACTGAATGTCACCCATTTGTCCACAGATATTTCTCTGCAGTCCATTGTCAAAATAACCCTTCTGCACGAAGAGTTGAAAGAAAGGAGAAGGAAACATTTTTAAAGAACTAGATTAAAGATGAATATATTACTGACAAACTCAAAGTTCATCCTAAGCTCCGCAGAAGGTACGAGTCTTCTTCCTATGATCCACTTTTGTTCCATAAGTAGACTGTATGTTTTTAACTGCTTCCGAAAGGAAACAAAATCAAGCACTAATGCTCTTTGTCCATGTCTGTCACTCAGACCCCTCTCTAGCAACTTCTGAACCCATTAGCTATTTGCTATTGTATTTGTGGCAGAAGCAGGAATCTGGGAAGTGAAAATTATGTTTCCTCAAAATCAGTGAGTGCGCACAAGAGGACAATCCAAATGGCATTCTTCAACTAAGGGAAAGCCATATAAAGTTAGTTTTCTTACTTCTTGTAAGGCCAGCTGGCCAACCAGCCCACATGGACCACCAGGTCAACCAGCAAAGCTAAGCACAGCTTGCGTCTACAGAACCAGCGACAAAGGATGGAGGCTATAGTACCATGCACGTAGGGGCTGGACTTTAAAGACAGAACACAAACCACATAATCACAGAATCACAGAATTTTCAGAGTTGGAAGGGACCTCTAGAGATCACCCAGTCCCACTCCCCTGCTAAAGCAGGACTGCCAAGAGCACATTACTCAGGACTGCATCCAGGCCAGGTCTGGAAACCCCCCGGAGAAGGGACCCCCCCCCCGCCCTGGCCAGCCTGTGCCACTGCTCTGTCACCCCAACCGTAAAGAAGTTTTTCCGTCTGTTGGAACGGAACTTCCTCTGTTCCAACTTGTGCCCATTGCCCCTCGTCCTGTCACTGGGAACCACCGAGAAGAGTCTGGCTCCATCCTCCTTCAACCCACCCTTTAGATATTTGTAAGCAATAATGAGGTCTCCCCTCAGCCTTCTCTTCTCCAGGCTAAAGAGTCCCAGCTCTCGCAGCCTTTCCTCATCAGGGAGATGCTCCAATCCCTCAATCATCTTGGTTGCCCTTCACTGGACTCTCTCCAGCAGTTCCCTGTCCCTCCTTGAACTGGGGAGCCCAAAAGTGGACACAGTATTCCAGTTGTGGTCTCACCAGTGCTGAGTAGAGGGGGAGAATGACCTCCCTCGACCTACTGGTCACACTCGTCCCTCTGCAGCCCAGGATTCCATTGGCAAGGATTTATTCTTTCTGCTGCTCATAAAATGCTGGTTTATATGAAGCAGTATGAGCATATTTGTTACCATAGTGCCCGGCAACCTCATTATGCACCGCATTATGCAAACACGCAGAGAGAGATGGGCTGCTCCTTGAAAAGCCAGCGATGTCTGCAGACGAGGCAGACACATGAGGTGAGGAAAGGGGAGAGAAAAGCCTCACGCTACCTGTGGGCTGGCAGGGAATGCGTTTCTGCACGCCCACAGGCTGGCTGCCAAAATGCTAAAGCGAGACATCACACAATAGAGCTGGGCAACAACCAGTCTCATCTGACTGTTAAAAACGAACACGAATTCCTCTGCTCTTCTCTATCCTTGCTTTGCTGGCCTTAATACAGGTGTAACGATTCTGTGAGCACTCAGTTCTGCTGTACTTGGAGACCGGACCCGTGAGTATCCTGCGTCACCCAAGATGAGAAAGAGTAGACCAACAGCCATTGTTAGGTGGATGCATGTTGATGCACTACGTCCACCAGCTCTGAAACAGCTCAGCCACAATCTCCTCTGGAAGTGAAGGACAGAGGCTATTGATCTTCAAATATTTTACAGTGTTGACAAAGAAGTTCTAAATACCAGATATGTCACACGGATTCAGTGCACATCTAGAAACAATGTGTTGCCCGGAGAGGTGGGAGATGCCCCATCCCTGGAAAAATTCGAGGCCAGGTTGGACGGGGCTCTGAGCTACCTGATCTAGTTGAAGATGTCCCTGCTCATTGCAGGGAGTTGGACTAGATAGGCTTCAAAGGTCCCTTCCAATGCAAACCATTCTATGATTCTATTCTAAATCCTTTCCAGGTAAATGTGCATGATTTCACATCAGTAACTATTACATTAGAGCTGATCCCTTCAAGCTTGTGAGAGAGCATGGGCCATGTTTGTATGGAGTCCTACCACACCTGGGATGGACCAGCTACTCCTTGCTGTGACCATGCTCAAGCACCCAGTGTGCCCAGTTCTGCATATCTGCTCTCCAGGGCTTGCAGAGGCTGTGGAAGGAGGAGAGAAACTCAGACCATTTACTACAGCTACGTCTGGTGCAGAAGCTGATCTCAGTGCCTATTTTTGATATTCAGGCAACACATAAACTGTAAAAAAGTGTTACTAGAATAGACACAGGCTATTCTGTGCTGGTTGCATCAGTGCCCAGACACTCAGCTTACCATGGTTAATTAGCACACAAGTACAAATTTCTAAATCTCTCTGTCTCCACCACAGATAAGGGAGGAAACACAGCCCATTGGGAACTGCCCTTGGAATATGCCAGCTCCTGAACCCAGCCCAAGAATTGCTTGGAAAAGTACTAGTTACGCTGGGCCAAAAATGTAGGCAGGAGTGTGCTAGCAACTTCACAGCCTGGATCCCCACATTTGAGTGCCAGGCACATTGAATTCACTAATTCAAAGCACGAATGAGGAGGCAGGTGCCCTGCTTGAGGTCTGCATCTCTACTGATTGTTGGGATGGGGGGATGTCTCAGGAAGGTGACCTAAATCCCCTTTCTAGGTCTGGTAACCCTCCATCAGTTGTCTCTCTGATACAGTCATTGAATCATAGAATCGTCTGGGTTGGAAGAGAC